ATCATGACGCATGGTTAAATTACGTTCGAAATACAGTTTCTCGGTAATGATCAAAGCCGTTTTATCGGAACCTGCTAAATGTTCCTCAAATGAATCGCCGTCTCTGATTAGTCGTTGGTTATCTTTCATCTGCAACGAGATTGCCAGAACTGTGCGCGAACAGTCTTCCATAGAACCTTGAGAATGAAGCCTGTAGCTATGTGCTTTCCCGTGGAATTCTACGTAATTTGATTAATCCGTACTGGTGCATGGAATTCTATGATTCTTCCTAAGGAAAAATACGGGAATACATTATCTCATTCTTTGTGTAGAATGACAATTTTCCGTCATTATAAATAATTGTAAATATCGACTTATAAAAGATTTTAAAAGTAAAATAAGTAATAAAGGAACGAAATGAGGAGCAATAATGTAGAATGTAGAATTTTATTTTTTTACTCAAAAATCGTAGGTTTTCGATTTTTACTCAAATCATCTTATTTTCTTTCTTCAGTTTCTTATACAGTAATCAAAGCAGATAACCATAAATTACAAGATTCGTCATTCTTTTTTTTTAAAAATTCTGAATTTTTTAATTTCACAATTTTTTACAATTTTCTTAAAATTCCTGAAACCTCCAATTTTTTCAATTTTCAAATCTTAGATTTGAAAAATTTCTAATTCTTATTAATCTATAAAATTTTTATATTTTATAAACTTTTCGAATTTCGTACTTTATTACATATCTAAGATTAAAACATTTTAATATTCTAAATTTTCACTTTCACCGATCATCGATAAATTTGCAAAAAAGTTGTAAAAATTCTCATGAAATTTAAGAAATTGAATATTCTCTTGCTTCAAATCGATATAATATACGGGAAATTTGTTAAGATTGTACAAAAAGACACGGAACAATCCAGAGATCTGGTTGGCATCCTTGGACAGAATTTCTCGCAGCCTCTTCTAATTCTCAGTAGCCGATCGATTGCCGTTCCAATTCAATTGGAGGAACGTTCTTCAGGCCGCGCGGAGTGGAATGTATTATTCATCGTCGCGTTTCTCGCCGCGTCTGCCTTCGCGCCGTTGAACCTAATAGAGAACCAGGGGGGAAAGCTGGTATTATCTCCGCATAGTCGTCGTAGATCATCGAATGATTTCTTGTTATCTCGTAGGCGTGGTACTTCCTATCGTGAAACGAATCCAGATTAATTTTTCCCAATGATTTTCAATGTCGTTTTTCCTCCGGGAGGAGAAAAAAAAAAAAAAATACTATCTGCTGAACGTTGTCACATTAACCTATAACTAAACATATATCTATCCTCGGCATAGCAATAAACGTATCCGCCTCTACAACCGAGGAACGATTATTATGTGTCATTACCAGTCTTTTTC